AACATGGCTTTTAGTCTTCTTAAAGGAAAATGTTATCAAGAAGCTGTAGTAAAATATCAACAAATGAATTTGATGAATTTATATGATAAGTTTGGAATGGCATTAGCACTTTATAAAGTTGGCCAATACCAAGAAGCTTATGCTACTTATGAATCGTTGACTGAAAATAAATCTGACATGAATATTGTGTCAACTGCTTTTCTTGCTATGGCTGCAATAGCTTTTAGTAATCATGAAGATTATGATAAAGCCACAACATTATTCTTAAAAAGTATACAAAGTAATACAGCTAACATACAGGCACTACTGGCAACGTTTGCACTGGGTATTGTAACACGTAAAAGTAGTTTGTCTAGAACTATTTTGCAAGAACTAATATCTCATAAGAGCGACCCTATGTTTTTGAAAGATATTATTCGATTTGAAACATATTTCTACTACTTGAATCGTCAACCTAATATATCGTTGAAATTAATCAGCCGTTATATTCATATTTATCCTGATAATGCTCATTTATGGGTGAACTTGGGTTTCATATTATTGAATTACTACATGGCCAATGAGTCCAAACGCAAAAGAGGACTAGGTTCTCATATTTTTACATGTGCTACAGTTATAAGTCACAAGACTTGGGAACTTGAAAATGCATTAGTTTTGACTACCATTTGCAACTTGTTTGAAGGAGAATTGAAAATGTGCTTGCAAAACGTTTTGAAGGGAATTCATTTATACCCTACATCGTCTGAACTTTGGACAGTATTATTGAATACTATATACTGCCGGGGTAATATTGAAGATGCAGAATTCTTAAAAAGTCATATAAATTTTGTTGTAAACAATTTAAATCCTAATGATATTTTAAAATGTAATCTTTCAAAACTAGAAACTCATATTCCATAACATTAATATCTTATGTAAATTCAATTTATTAATTATTCATACCTATCTATATTTATAATGTTTAATTTTTTAACACAACATCATGTTTATAATTTTATTTTATGTACACTATTTACAGTTTGATATAAAAAATAAATAAATTATGTAGATATAAGTATACTTAGTTTCCTAATTAATTATGATTAAACTGACTTAAACTTTTTTTTCTTAAATATTAAAACATTTTGATGTTTTTATATTTAATATATGTCCTAAGACAGTTCTGTGTATTGGATTTTGAAAAATAAAATTTTTACTTGAAAATAATTAGTGTTCAATCATTAGTTCATTTAAACTTTGCAAATTCTTATAAATTTGTTCAGTTAATTTGAATTACTTTTCAATTATAATTACAATAGCAAAGAAATACAATTTAAAATGTTTGTAATTTTTTTATTTATTTGATGTGCCTCGTTTTGTAGCAAGCTAAGAAAACTGGGAAAATCTTTCTTTTTTTGTTATTAATTTTAGTTGGATAATTTTAACACTTAGTTACAAACCTTTCTGATAAATGAACTTTTTTTTTAGAATAGAAAATATAAATTTAGTAAAACAATAAGATTAAAGTAATCTAATTTTTTTTTTATATTAGTTTGCATCATTAATTCTAATTTATAATGAATAATAATTGTATCATAAGCCAAAATAAAAACATAAATATTTTAATAAAAGTTAATTTTAAATAATAATAACTTTTTATTACTATATGTATGATGTAGGTTAATTAAAATAGATTGTTTAAATGTATAAATATCTAATTAACGTCATTATTATAATTTTAAAACGCGTATGTTTTCATCTTGTTTCAGACAATACTATCTTTATATATTATGTTAGATTGCTGATAATATATAATATACCTAACATAAAATTCAGAGAGTATTCATAAGTCTTCACTTTGGAGTAAATTCATTAAAATTTATACTATTTATGGAAACCTGGGGTAATTGGACATTTAATAATGAAAACGAAGATTTGTTGGCCAAAGTGTTGAACAAGTTTGCTTCGAATCAATGCAGTTTAGATACGCCGAAAAAAGTTCTTTTGTCGTCCTTAGCTGCTTCATCAAAAGTATGTACATACCTATGTCACAATGGATTAATATATTTATAGTTACAAATAATAGGTATATTTTATAAAATAATTGCCAGCGATTGAGCACTTTTCAATTTTTAGATTTAAATTAATAAAATAATTTCACATTTTATTTATTATGAACGTTTCTGTATACATTATACATACTTATACAAATCTATAGACTGTACAAGTTGAAATCTCCAGTTCGAGCAGCGATGACAGCGATATTGATGGAGACTTTAACGCCGTTCAGACTTTTTATCCAAATAAATCCTCTACAGGCATATCAAATGGAGAATTTAAATCTACAACAGCTGTCGTCAAGGACTTGCAATTACAGTCTGTCTGTACCGGCGTCACCTCGAGACATTTTGATGAAGAATCGCCCTTTCTTTCGAGTCAACCGCAGGGTAAGTTATTATAACTATCAATGATTTAATAATTAATAATATACCTATTTATATTATTTATAATAATAATTATGTTGAAACGCTTTCAAAATCAAAACACGTATTAGGTTACTCTTATACTGGGTTTTCTGAAAATTAAAAGTTATCCGTGAGATGTTTATAACTCGTAGTATAATTTTTAAACCTTCGATGTTTATTCATGCTGTTTCTACGTGTTGTTGTCTGCAATAACTAATAGTTTTCTGCAGTTTCGTTTAACAATTTGGGGGTAAGTTTGATAAATGTTTAATGTTACAACAGTCTGCCCTGTGGTCTTGTAGTTATAGGTGTCAATACCACACAAAAAAATAGATTACATTTGGAAAACATATGTTATACACTTATTACTTAATACTTATACATAATAAATACCTTTAGGCTTTAAAAAACATATTGACGTATTTCAAAAGAGTAGGCTCACTAGGTAGTCTAACTTTAGTATTTCATTATTTTATTCTGTAATTTTAGAAAAAATTGTGGTGGTTAAATTGTTAAACACATTTTTATTGATCCCGATTAATTGTTATGATGATTGTATTTTTTTAATTATATACTTTATTATAGACATGGATTTTTGAATATTAATATTATAGTATTTATTTTGTCGTATACTCGAATTTCTATTATAACTTTTGAATGTTGATAATAAATTATCTATATTTTTGTAGTGGAAGACCCTCACGAAAACGCTATCAAACAAATCGTAGAAATGTTAAACGCTGGAGACTACGATGCCGAAGAGTTGTTTTCGGTGTTGCAGATAGAGCTGAGGAACCGAAAAGATGTGTCAGAAATAATCGGAGATGTGTGGCCGGAAATTGTTACGGACAATGCTCGTCATGGTTTTTGTGAAACACTTGTCAAAATTGATGTAAAACCACAAATAATTTGTGAACAGATATATTTACCCTGGGTATGTACCTAATAAAATAAAACTGATGTCTTTACACCAGCACTTTATGTTAAATGTTCACATCGATGAATAATTATACAATTACAAAAATAACTGCTGTGTCGCAGCAGTTGGAAATTTAATAAAAATATTTTTTTTTCAGTTCGAAATACGCGAGTCTAATTTAACTGGGTTCGTTGAAAGTTTGTCCAAACTGATCGTCCACTTTCCAGAATATGCTTGCAAGTTTTTCTTAGTCAAATTATTGAAAGATAGAGAATCGATTCTAGTTAAACACTTGAATTGGCTGGTGAAAATCATGCAGTCTCTCGACCAACAACATTGGTGTATACTTTTGAAGTAAATCCATTTTTAAAATGACTACCTACTTATTGACTTTATTACTACTATGACTAGCTTTATATAATTTATGCTGTTAATGATTTGTACAGCGAATACATAAATCACTGCGATGATTTGGATCAGTACCAAGTACCAGTTTTGTTGCATTTGGTGAACAATTGCCAAAAAATTTTAAACAACGGAGACACCGAACGTCTGATTGGGTTATGCAGAAACGCAGCCTCTAAACATTCCACAAACAGAGACTTTGGGTTATTGTTAGTATCCGTGATCGGAGCTATCGACTTAGACAAATTTTTACCAGAAATAACGACTATATGTGAACAACTCAAGGGTGTTTCAAAATTTTTGATCATGAAAGCTTTAAAGGATAAAAAATAAATCAATATAATAATAATATCCAAGTATCTATTGTATGATTTATTGTTAAATTAAAATGTTTTTATTATGTTAATAATGCAATTAATTGTTTTTACGATTATAATCAGAAGTAGGTTGTAAGTATGCGAATGTACCTATATAATTAAGATCGCAGAACTATAAATTTAAA